AGATTTGCATCCTGACTTAAGTTATTCAAATTTCAATTTGTACGTCCTGTTTATAAGATTGTAGTTCTAATAAACTTTAACATCTTAAGGTATATATTTCATTTGCTTCTTGGACAAATTTTCATTTTTACATGTAGTTTATGGAGTATTATAAGTCAAGTAAATCTTAATTTTCATCTAGTTTATAGAGTTAAGTCTTCTAGTAAATCATAACATATTAAGAAGATATAGTCTTTATTTACATATTGTAATTTATTATTCAGATTTATATTTGTACATCTAGTTCTGTTGACTGTGAGTCTTGGAAATATTAACATCTTAATATACAGACTTTATTTGTACTTTGTATTGACTAATTCAAATTTATATTTGTACATCGAGTTTATAGACTGTAAGTCTAGTACATTTTACCATCTTAATATAAAGACTTCACTTGTACTTTGAATTGACTAATACAAATTTATATTTGTACATCTAGTTTATAGACTATAAGTCTAGTACATTTTACCATCTTAATATAAAGACTTCATTTGTACTTTGAATTGACTAATACAAATTTATATTTGTACATCTAGTTTATAGACTGTAAGTCTAGTACATTTTACCATCTTAATATAAAGACTTCATTTGTTCTTTGAATTGACTAATACAAATTTATATTTGTATATCTAGTTTATAGACTGTAAGTCTAATACATTTTACCATCTTAATATAAAGACTTCATTTGCACCTTGAATTGTATATTTTTTTTTATACTTTCATCTGGTATATACACTGCAAGCCTAGCAAATCTTAACAACTTAATATAAAGACTACTCTATTTTGCACCTTAAATGGACCAATTTAAATTTAGTATTGTACATCTAGTTTAAATCTAATAAACATCTTAATATATAGACTTACTTCGCACCTTGAATTGTACAAAAATTTGCTTTTTGTTTATATGCTATAAGTCTACTAAATCTTAATATCTTAATAGAAATACTTCAGTTTCATCTTTAATTGAACAATTCAAATTATATTTTATATATATATTTTTATATAAGTTTATTCAATCTTAACATCACGATATATAGACTTTATTTTTCAATTTGAATTAAATAATTAAAATTGTCATTTGTGCATGTAGTTAATAGATTGAAAGTCTACTAAATCTTAACATCTTAATATAAAGAGACTTGAATTTGCATCTTAAATTGAACATTTCAAACTTCGATGTGCACACTTAGTTTATAGACTTCAAGTCTTCTTAATCTTAACATCTTACTATAAAGATATCATTTGTATTTTGAATTACAATTTATAAAGGCTGTCCCAAAATTAACGCAAGATTTGAATTTATCGCCATTTGTGCAGTAAAGTGTTGGCAACCCCAAAAAAAGCAATTTGACACTTTACTGCACAATTGGCGGCAAATTCAAATCTTGCGTTAATTTTGGGACACCCTTTACATTTGTACTTCAAATTTATAGACTGCAAGTTTAGTAAACATAAACATCTTAATATAAAGACTTCAATTGCATCTTTAATTCATTAATTAAAATGTTCATTGGAACATCTAGTTTATAGACTATAAGGCTAGTAAACGTTAACGTCTTAATATAAAGACTTATTATCTTATCTTATTTATAAGACTATAAGTTTAGTAAATCTTAAATTGAATAATTGAAATGTCTATCAGCACTTCTTGTTTAATTTCTAACCTGACTACATCAATTCAAATATCGATTTGTACCTCGATAATTAAATCCTAATCAAACGACGCTATGAACGACGCTATGAACGTAGTTTCGCTTTAACTACATCCAGGTAGGATTTATTCGCCAATTAGTATATAATCCTACCGATAATATTCAATTGGAATCTCGCGGATGGCGAGGAAATCGTTCGGAATGAATTGAACGCTGCAGACTCTGCGGAACGTGCATAATATAAACATTGGTGGGTTCGAAACCGAAAGGATTTGCGCTCTGCCCACGACCACTTTTACTGCTCCGACCACACTTAAATCGAATTGCCATTAGCTTCAGCCATCAGAAGCGAACCTCACCTCACTCTTCCAGATGCTTCGAACCACAACATAGAACAATCGCAATTTCCTACACGGCCTTGCACTTCTTTCTTTCTACATTACCTATGAGGTCATTGCTCGCATCATTGAGGACTTACGCTTTTCGGACCTCCTCCACCCATTTTTTTTTGCTAATAAATATGGGACAAGGTCGCTGCTCTTTACATTTCATACATATTTCTCCTTTTTTTTTACTTTATGTTAATGCCGAGTTGAAAATATGCAATGCAAATGTATTCATTTCATCATCATCATTGCCAATTTTCGCTTCTCATTCATGCAATGCCGCCGATACACTTATTAAATGTCAAGAAATAAGTCGATTTTTATTTTATTCGTAAATGAGACTCTTTAAAGGTCTCTTTGTTGAATATGACTGCAATTGCAGAATGATTCATAAAACCTAACAAGACAAGGCATCACCCAAATGATCATCCTTGAATTGCATAGATTCAAAGATTGTTCCAAATGCAAATCAATTTTTTAAAAGTCTCACAATTCTTTGTAAAAAAACAAAACATTATTATTTTGTACACAACTTGTTTTTCATGTTAAATTGTTGTTTAATCAACAAGAATGACAAGAAATCAGCGGAAATTGGTTAACATAAAATTAGTATTATCTTCTGGTGACTTCTTAATCATTTACCACAAGTTGTTAAAAAATACACATCCGTTTGACTGAAATAAATTATATTTTCATGTAATTGAAATTCAGTGTAAGTAAAAAAAATGTCTTAAAGATTAGGGTGTTGTAATCGGGTCTATTGAAATCCCGACTGTATTGAAATCCCGACGTTCGAAATCCCGACTGTATCGAAATCCCGACTATATCAAAATCTTGACAACCATAATCCCGACTGTATCAAAATCTCGACAACCATAATCCCTGTATTAAAATCCCGACTATATCGAAAATTTTTACAATAACATTTTTAAATTATTTCGGAGCGTAGTCTTGTGCTACACTTTTATTATTAATAACAATAAATTATTCTTAATTTATTTGATTTTGTTGAATTATTCATAATAAACCTTAACATTGTGAAATAATCTCAAATACAATTAGATTATTAATTGTTATTAATTATTATTAATAACAATTCAAAAGTCACCACGCTCCGGAATAATTAATAATATATATATATAAATGTTATTGTAGACATTTTCGATATAGTCGGGAATTTGATTGACGGTATTTCGGTTGTCGGGCTTGCGATTGCCACCAGTTATAATCAATAGAAAAATAATAGTCTAAATATGTTAGTATTTATCTTAATATGAGTAATGAAATAAAATATTTACTTTGCGTCATTATTGAGAGAGATTACTGACAAAATTTACTCATAGGATTAATAACTCCAAAGTACGCATTTTGGAAATTGTGTTTGATTTTGTAATGATTTTATCATTTTAGAACTTTTATTTTTATAAAAAATATTAAACAAATAGAAATGAATTTATTTGCAATAGTTTTACAAAATTAATTAATAGTTTAATTAATTTACTATTTATCTTAAGCAAAAAAAAGTTATAGAAAATAATAATTCAGTTTGATTTTTGAAATAAAATTACAAACGTTTTAGTAATTAATTAATTGTTTAATTATTTTAAACAAAATGCATTTATCTTGTAAAAAAAAGTTATGGAAAGTAATAATTCGGTTTGATTTCTATAAAAAAATAATTCAGTTTGATTTTTGAAATAAAATTACAAACGATTTAGAAATTAATTAATTCGAAAAACACTACGAATTTACACAGATTAATCTAAATGTTTGACTGCATTAATTAAAAAATTAAATATTAAATTTTATGGGTCGCAAAATGACACTTATGGAAAGTAATAATTCGGTTTGATTTCTATAAAAATAATAATAATTTCGTTTAATGTCTGCAATAAAATTGAATTTATTTGCAAAAGTTTTGGGAATTTAGTTAGTTTCATATTTGAAATTAAATTGTAAACGTTTTAGAAATTAATTATGAATGTGATTATTGCAATTAAAATGCATTTATTTTGCAACAAAGTTATACAAAGTAAAAGTTCTGTTTAATTTCTGTAATAAAAATGATTTTTTTGCAAATTTATTGAGTTTTATTTTTGCAATTAACAAAATCGTTTATTTGCAAATTAAATCACTTTGATAATTCCAATTAAAATGCATTTATTTTGCAAACATTTTCCAAACTAATTAGGTTCGATTTCTATGAAAAAAAAATAAATAAAAAGATGTAAATAATTTACGTAATGCTTTTACGCATTTATCTGCAATTATAATAACTTAGTTCCTTGAAACTGAACCCACTGCAATCAAAATAACTGTTAAAAAAAATTACCATACGATTCTTCATAACCTGAAGCGGCGAATAAATTAACACTTTTCCAGTCAACGAAAAGCAAACACGTTAATTAATAATTTCAGTAATTAGAGCTAATTTGAATACTAAAGTCTTTCTATGTATCAATTAAATATTGAAGCACACGTAAATCCTTGCGACGAAAAAAAAACTGGATGTCATTAATGTAATTGAATGTTGTTTCCGTTAAATTAATTTTGCATCTCGATTCTTGCAGAATAAATGAATTTAAATTGAAGCTTCTAGCGATGCGTAACCTTTAATTAAGTAATATTTACGAGCACTGAGAGAGATTGAGCCAAAACGCAGGTAGTATTGAAAAGAAATAGCAACTGCAGATGTGGTGTATATAGCATTGAAAGTGCTCTCGCTCTTTTGGCACCTGTAGGATTAACTGCAGAAGCCTTGAACCCACGTGCTTGTATCGAACTTGATCGCGTTCTTGAAGCGAATTGTCCTCTTCGAAACTCGTTCGCAACAGAATTCAATTCAATGTATGTAACTTGCATAGGTTACAGCATCCAGTATATATGAATTTGCTGATGGTTATGGAAAAATTATAAATAGGTGTGTGCTATTGTTGCGTTTACTTACGTTGGACGACCAAGAGCAGCTCTGTTGTTGGAATGTTGTGGATTTGTATCTGTAACAAGTAAAAAATGAATTTAGATGAATGAAATAAATAAGAAATCTTGAAGAAATGGTATTGTTTTTGGACCTTTTCTTTTCAGGGACAACCGAGGAGACGAATTGGATTTGGATGAATCAAAAAGGCACGACGAGATCCCAGACGGACGGCGAGATCGTCGGGCGTGCTAAAGCAGCGCGATTAGATAACTTTTGGCGTGCACAAATATGTGTATATTTAGATGACGGCGAGTTATTTTTGGTGCACGTGAAATATTCGCGAGAGAGGCGCTTATTCTGCAGCGTTTATTTTCGATGTTCGCAACATCTCTCGGCTTCTTCACTTGATCGTTCCGGCGAACTCTGGAGGAGAGATCACCGTGACCTGCGCCAAACCACGCGATTACGTAACTGATCCATTTAATACATGGATACAACTCGTTTATCTCGACAGAAGCAGAAAATACCATATTTAGATTGATAAAAAAACACCACAAATTTGCAATTTTTATATTTATACAAGTGTAAAACATTTAAAAAAAAATAAGTAACACTTAGATTAATCTAAATGCAATTAAATCCATTAATTAAAAAAAGTAATTTGATGGGTCGCAAAATGACAGCTGTCAACTTGCGTCGAAACGTCAAAAAAAATGTTATAAACAATTGGGTCGCGAAATGACAGCTGTCATATTGCGTCAAAACGTCAAAAAATAAAATAACGCTCCTTCTGTGGTCATAAAGTAAATAATTCCCGATACACTTTAATAAAGAAGTAACACTTAGATTATTCTTAAAGCAGTTAAATTAATTAATTAGAAAAAAGTTATTGTATAATTGATTAATTTAAGTATTCATTAAACAACTTAATTCCAAATATATTTAAAGCACACATTAGACTCTCATATAACGCGAATTTCTACAACACGATAAAATTATTGGGACAATTTCTTTATATAACGCAATTATAGTAGAATTGAATATCCCAAATATGTTATTCGTGTTATACGAGGAAATTTCTCTTATAACACGATTTAAAATAACGCGTAAAGTATTAATCGCGTTATACGGGAAAATATTAGGACCACTATATAACGCGATTCTAATACAATTGAAATTGAATATGACAATAGTCATCCCAAATATATTATTCGTGTTATACGAGGACAATTCTCTTATAACACGATTCCATACAACGCGTAAAGTATTAATCGCGTTACACTGTATAAGTAATTTATGTCGAAGGTAGCATTAAGATTGATTGAAAAACAGATTAAATCTTCAAATTTCTTTCATTTAAAAATAAAATATTTTAAAATTGATTAATATAAATATTTATTAAGCTTTGTGGTAAAAGCAATAAATCTTAACGCTTATTTTTATTATAAAGAAACACCTTTTGACTGTGGACCACCAGACGTGAAGCAATAACAACTGGTTGAACGTAAATCACAGATTATGATCAATTTCGATCACGATTTTATATAATGCAATTGATAATAAATATTCCAGATTTTTCCTTGATATTTTTTTTTATTATTATAAATGTATTTATATATATTACAAACGTAGTGAACCTACACACAATTACGTGATATACCTTAAAACCGTTAGGCGACACATTTAAAATCCCCCCACGACATTGTCGTAGGCTGATTAATAAATATTAATTACAATTTGCTGCTCGATCAAGTGACATTATAATTTGACGTCTTTCCAATTCTGACGTGTATTTTTCTCTCATTAGAGAACACTTCTCTCGTTTTCTTAAAAGCAATTAATTTAATTTACATACACTTACTGTTCCACAACTTTAAACTTAAGTCGAAATAGTCATAATAGACGAATTTTTTAATCTATACATTTGTTTTTCACAAGAAATATTTGACTAAAGCTGTTAAAAATTGATACATTTTTATTTCTATTAAGTCCGAATAGTCGTACGTCAAAATTAGTGTATCTAATGATATAATACTTTTGTTTTCCATGAGGAATATATTTGACTAAAACTGTTAAACATTGATACATTTTTATTTCGATCATTTCGTCGTAAATTCAAATTGTCGTAAGTCGAGAAATATTGATAAATACCTATATTTCCATAACGTCGTAAGTTCGAATAGTCGTAAGTCGAGAAATGAGTATTTCTAATGATATAACACTTTGTTTTCCATGAGGAATGTATTTGACTAAAACTGTTAAACATTGATAAATACTTCTATTTTCCATAACGTCGTAAGTTCGAATAGTCGTAAGTCGAGAAATGAGTGTTTCTAATGATATAATACTTTTGTTTTCCATGACCAATTTATTTGAATAAAATTGTTAAACATTGATACATTTTTATTTCCTTCATTTCTTCGTAAGTTCAAATTGTCGTAAGTCGAGAAATATTGATAAATACTTCTATTTTCCATAACGTCGTAAGTTTGAATAGTCGTAAGTCGAGAAATAAGTGTTTCTAATGATATAACACTTTTGTTTTCCCATGAGGAATATATTTGACTAAAACTGTTAAACATTGATACATTTTTATTTCGATCATTTCGTCGCAAGTTCAAATTGCCGTAAGTCGAGAAATATTGATAAATACTTCTATTTTCCATAATGTCGTAAGTTTGAATAGTCGTAAGTTGAGAAATGACTGTTTCTAATGATATAACACTTTTGTTTTCCATGAGGAATATATTTGACTAAAACTGTTAAACATTGATAAATACTTCTATTTTCCATAACGTCATAAGTTCGGATAGTCGTAATTCGAGAAATTAGCGTTTCTAATGATATAACACTTTTCGTCGTAAGTCAAAATGATCGTAAGTCAAGTAATGTATCCAATGATATAATAGCTTTGTTTTCAATAAGGTATATATTAGACTAAATCTGTTAAACTTTTATACATTTTTGTTGAGTTCGTAAGTTGAGAAATATTTATACAATAAGTATATGTATTAAAAACTGCATAACATTTATTATTTTTTTACGACGTAAGTGTGAACAGTCGTAAGTCGAGAATTGACTGTATCGAATGATATCACATCCTTTATTTTGCAATTATAAACTTCAAAAATGAAAGCGTTCTCTTTCAAGTGGAACATTATGACAGGTTAATGTGTCTGCTCGTAATTATGCTGTACTTCGGATGTACTTTGCACGAGTTATAATAGCATTACATTTCTCTTCGGGATCGCGCTTGTAATAAGCACGGTTTATTTTCGTCCCTGAGAGACCAGTAATCATACATAACGTACGCTGTTGGATACAAGAAAATGGGACAGTTTGTACGGTTGACAACTTGGCGCATCGTCAAGCAGGCACCTGCCAATAATTGACAGATTGTCAGAGTTAATGTAACTAAACATACCGTGTTTACATTATATACACGTAAGACATTGAAATTATTCAAATGTGACTAATTCACAATCTCAAACACTTTAGAACGATATACGAAAACGCAGCTATTATGTACAGTAATTTTTCGACTTACGACTATCAACAGTTATGACATAAACAAACTATACAAATTGATTGATTATTAATATTTATGTATATCATTATTTACTCATGTATTTAATAACTGAAAATATGTACATACATTTTATTTAATGAATTTCGACTTACGATCATTTCGACTTATGTCCGAAGTTGCAAAACGGAAGGGGTTTTCAACCAACACTGTGTAGGGTTAATTTTCTAATTGTTCACGAAATGACAGTTGTCACTTTGCGTCAAAACGTCAAAAAAATTGTTATAAACAATTGGGTCGCGAAATGACAGCTGTCACTTTGTGTCAAAACGTCAAAAAAAAATTGTTTTAAACAATTGGGTAGCGAAATGACAGCTGTCACCTTGCGTCAAAACGTCTAAATATTGAGCTAAGCTGCTTTATAAAATACAAGCCTTCTGTAGACTCCATTCATAAGATAAATAATAATAATTCCGAGTAAAAGATAAGACGGAAGGAGTTATCTTTATGAGCTATTACGTGGGTGTGACAACAAACATTGGAAACGTGAGAACGGCGAGTGAACACATACATGCATTTGTAGTCGCCCTTAGTAATCGGTGATCTGAAAGTCTGCGGCGCGCCAAATTCAAAATATGCAAATGTGAAAGGAATTATCGAAGTGAAAAGAAAAAAAACATTACAGATAATAAGTACATGTAAGCAACTATACCGGTCGTAACAATTCAGTGTAATCATGACTCACACGCTTCGTGCTCGTAAATTGCGAAACAAACGAAAAAAATATGAATAAAAAGATAGTGCAAATAAACGACAAAATTACATTCATTAAAATATATTTCTGGTTTACTCAATTCTCTGAAAATTTAATCTGATTCACCGAATTCCTCAAGCATAACATTAATAAATATTTTAGAAAATGTTACAAATAATTAGATAATTAGTTTTGTTTAAAACGAATCTAAATAAAAGTTATATCTCTTCTGAGCAGTTTTTGTCTCGAAATGACAGCTGTCACTTTGTGTCAAATTGAAGAAGTGTGAATAGTTTTCAGTGATAAAAAAATAAATACTAATGATAATTATAAAAAAATGATCTTAATTATCAAAAATTAATTAAAAAATCTTCCAGAAATGTTTAATATATTAAAAAAACAGACTAAATTTAATGCTTATTCTGTCTATATAAATATGTTTTATTATGTTGAGAATTGAAATCATTTGTATCGTATCGTTTACATCACTAAATCGCAGTCATTGTTTGTGAAATGAATAACGCACTTGAATTTCGCCGAGTTGCGCAACGTAACTTAATCATAGTGGACATTGAAATTCTAAAGTTCCTAATATAAAGGAAAAGTCTTTGGTGATGATTTCTCAGAATGCTTCAATTCTTATGCTAAAATTTCGTGCTATTTGAATGTTAATTACATGATGAATCCCTATGGAACGGAAGACTAATTAGGCCAATTGCAGCATGCAAACCCCATTCAAGCCACGTCAAATGGACAATGTCAACCGCAGGTCGATTATATTGTACATAGTACAAAT